ACACACACACACACACACACACACACACACACACACACACACACGCACATACCATTATAAACGTGATCATAGACGTACGTACATAGACTAACAACACATTATGTTTCAACACAGAAACAGCGACTCACGTCTATCTAAATAACAAAAACAAACATTCATCTTTCACCCCATAAAGATTAAATCAACCAAAGCCAATTGTATTTAGAATATGTCAAATTTATTAAAGTAATAAATACTTCAGTATTGAGAAAACTGAGTACTGAGATAATAATATTATGAACTTGTAGTTCAGATTCTAAAAAAGTGTCATGTATTCTACTAGCAGGACGCTATTTAGACAGAATTCATGCTTTCAAAGATGCAAGCATGATGCAGATTATAATGATAACGAGGAAATTGGTACATCTACATGTAGTAGCAATGCGGTAGCGACTCCGATGTCGGAATTTCCCCTTGACGTTGAAGCCTGGGTAGTCTTCCGAACTGTTCACTTTGTTCCAAAAAGAACAGCTGAAAGGCTTCATGCCAAAACCCACTAGATCTTTGCCCAAAACTTGTAGACTGTCTTTGAGAAAACTGAGAAAATACAATGCCCACAAAAACTGAAGATCGAGAAACAAAAGTACAATAGAAGATTCTGAACTCTAGTTTAAGACTAAATGCTGTGACAAAGCAACGCATTATGAAGAGACCCATGGCCTAAATACGTACAGGACATACTATTATTATAACATTCTTTGATTCATTATTGGCATTATATCGATATAGTCGCTCTTGGCATGCAGCTGTTTCATTTTTGTACAGAACAATCTCTGAGTTCAGAAGACAAACCAGAGTTGTAAAATTAACTACAACAACCACAACAACGACGACGACGACGACGAAGACAACGAAGACGACGACAACAACTACAGCTACAGCAATAACTACTACTACTACTACTACTACTACTACTACTACTACTACTACTACTACTACTACTACTACTACTACTACTACTACTACTACTACAGCATGAACAACAGAAACAACAGCAGCAAGAACAACAACAGCTATTACTTTATCCTAGAGAATGGTTATTGGTTATAGTGAAAAATATAATATTATATTAGGAAACTATTCTTTGTACATATGTAGAAGCTGGTTCACATCTCCCCTGCCTTGGATAATGCGAAGAATGTATCATAGTAAATGTGGATTATTATATCTGTATCATGATAATGATACCTGGAACACAAATATAGTTGGGCCCATAGCACGGTGTGGTGAGCGTCAAACATATCAATTTTGATCTTAAAATGCAACGTTAGACTAGGCAAACGTCATTTGAAGTTTGTCCACTCACATTAAAATTCATATACATTGAGGGTGCATGGCACCTTAAAGCTGAACACAAGTCTAAAAGAATAAAACATAAATGGCGGGTATTCCATGGAATAATATTGTAAGAGCAAAAGTTGAAAATATAAAAAAGGACATGGTGTATAACAATGTTCTTAATGACACGGTGGATGGAAAAATATAACACTGTTATGGGATTGCCGGTAAATGAGAGCAAGCGAGAGAGAAAGAGAGAGGGTGGAGGGGGAGAGAGAAAGAGAAAGACAGACAGACAGACAGACAGACAGACAGACAGACAGACAGACAGACAGACAGA